ATCTCAGGGGTAACATCAGATCCCGCTAGCTCGAGAGGATTGGAAAAGGGTCAGCTTTGTAACAAGCCGGGGGACATACTGCTACGTGGTGATGCCGTTTGGTCTCAAGAATGCAGGGGCGACGTATCAGAGATTGGTGGATAAAATTTTTAAAGATCAACTGGGGAGAAATATGGAGGTATATGTAGATGACATGCTGGTAAAGAGCAAGGAGGAGATTGATCATGTAAACGACTTAAAAGAGACATTCATGACCCTTCGGAGGTATGGGATGAAGTTAAATCCTGCTAAGTGCTCATTCGGGGTCAAATTGGGGAAATTTTTGGGCTACATGGTCACGAAGAGGGGGATCGAGGTCAACCCGGAGAAAGTGAGAGCGGTGATCGAGATGCAGCCCCCCACGAAGGTGAAGGAGGTGCAGATTCTAACTGGTCGAATAGCAGGCCTGAGTCGCTTTATTTCTAAGGTAGCTGAGAAGAGCGGGCCCCTATTTAAGACACTCAGGAGGAGCTCGAAATTCCAGTGGACAGAAGAAGCCCAGGAAGCATTCGAGGAGCTGAAGAGGGTGTTGGTCGACCTACCGCTATTGGCGAAACCAGCGCAAGGGGAGGACTTGGTGTTATATGTATCCATTGGTGAGACAACAGTGAGCTCTGTGTTGTTGCGAGAGGAAGGGACAGCCCAATTTCCAATCTATTATGTGAGCAAGGTGATGCAAGGAGCAGAAAGGAGGTATTCAGAAATTGAAAAAGGAGCCTTGGCAGTGGTGGTCACAGTAAGGAAGCTGAGACCATATTTCTTAGGGCATAAGGTGAAGGTCCGGACGAATATGCCGTTGGGAGAAACATTGGGTCGACCCTCCGTATCAGGGCGATTAGTCAAACGGGCGGTCGAGCTGAGTGAATACACAATTACTTATGAGCCAAGGAGGGCGATTAAGGCTCAAGCGCTGGCTGACTTTATTCAAGAAGGGACGAAGGAGAGCGGGGAATCTGAAGGGGTGTGGCAAGTGTTTGCAGATGGATCGGTGTCAAGGGCTGGAGGTGGCCTAGGCATCGTACTTATGTCGCCGAAGGGTGACAGCTTGGAGTTCGCAGTTAAGGTGGCCTACCAGATATCAAACAATGAAGCGGAATATGAAGCAGTCATTAAAGGACTCAAACTGGCCTTAAATGGCGGAGCTCGAGCAGTGCAGGTGCATTCAGACTCACAATTGGTGGTGGGTCAATTCTAGAAGGGGTTCGAGATCTGGGAGGAAAGGATGACGAAGTATGTGGAAGAGATAAAGAAGTTGCAGGGAGAGTTTGATTCCTTCGAATTAATCCAAATACCCCGAGGAGAAAATGGTCGAGCAGATCTGCTGGCTAAAATGGCACAAAGTCTGGTGGACTGCAAGAGCAGAGGTGTGACCTTGCTTCACATGGAGAAGAGTGTGGTCGAGAAGGAGGTGGCCGAGATAGAAGAAGTCGGGGACTGGAGGGCGCCGATAATAAAAGAATTGAAGGGAGGAACTGTTAAAGTAATAAGAAGATTCTTCGAGCATGGAGGGATTCTCTACAAGAGGTCGCACGCGGGCCCCCACTTGCGATGTGTAACAGGAGAAGAGGGGCGATATGTATTGAAAGAAATTCATGAGGGATGCTGCAGTGACCACAGCAAGGCAGGCTCCTTGGTGGCAAAGGCTCTACGGGCAGGATATTTCTGGCCGACGATGAGAGAAGATGCCAAGGAGATGGTGCGGAAGTGTTTGCAATGCCAGAAGCACGGCCCACTCATTCACCAGCCGGCCGAAGCTATGACAACGATGAGTTCTCCCATCCCATTTGCCCAATGGGGAATAGACCTGGTCGGGCCCATGCCCCAAGGAACTGGACAAACAAAGTTTTTAATTGTGGCGGTCGATTACTTCACAAAGTGGGTGGAGGCCGAGCCCCTGGCAAAGATCACGGAGGAGAAAGTGATACACTTCCTATATGATAACATATGTTGCAGGTTTGGAGTTCCCAAGGTGTTGGTGTCGGACAACGGGACCCAGTTCAACGGTAAGCAGATCCGAGCATGGTGTGAGGACATGAAAATCGACCAACACTTCGCTTCGGTCGCACACCCGCAGGCCAATGGGCAAGTTGAGGTAACCAACAGAATCATATTGAACGGACTGAAAACAAGGTTGGAGAAGGCATCGGGAGCGTGGGTGGATGAGCTTACTTCGGTGCTATGGGCATACAAAACAACACCCCGATCGACCACTGGGGAAACACCGTTTAGTATGGTATACGGCATGGAGGCCCTGTTACCGATAGAGGTCGAGGTTCAGTCCCAAAGGTCGAGCGCATATGATCGAGAACAGAATGAACACCTGATGCTGGCAGCGCTCGACACAATTGAAGAGTTTAGAGAAAGGGCGACAATCAGGATCGAGGCGTACAAACAAAGGATGCGAGCAGCGCATGACATGAAAGTGAAGACACGAAGATTCCAAGTGGGTGACTTGGTTTGGAAGAGAGTCGATGTGCTGAAACACGTCGGGAAATTAGAGCCAAACTGGGAAGGACCATACCTGGTCGAAAAGGTCCATGCTGGAGGAGCATACTCTTTAAAGGATGCTGAAGGAAGATCTCTAGCCAGGTCATGGAATGTGGCTAATTTAAAGAAGTATTATGCTTGAAATTTTTTCTTTTTTCTTCTTTCTTATTTACCACCGCCAATGTAATGAATTGCTTCGCTCGATGACGAATGAAATGGTGTATTGATGTTTCTGCAAATTACTGTTTACCGAATTCACTTTATGTATAGTCGATATTCTTGGA